AACATAACTGCCCAAACATACATGAGGTTGATTCAATTGGTAGACATGAGATGCTGTGTTAGTAAGTTAGTAATGATAAATTTTAATATCTTAATATCTAATAAATTTTACCTCGGTTGCTGGTTATAATTGAAGATCATCTGTCACTTTTTGAGTGACAAAAGTCTTCTGGGGACCCTTGGTAAAACAACCCTCGGTGTAGATCTTGGTCTCCATATTTTTTATGGTCAGTTGGGCATTGGGCAAAGTCGCATTATTGTTGGACTTTGTAGACATGACACTAATCTCCTGTCGCATCTTGCAGTACTGTACCGTGGTGGAAGCATTATCGTCCTCCACCTTGGGTTTTGAAGACTTTGCTTTTGTGTTCCCGTACAGTGCTGAAAGGTGTTGACCCTTGTTGCACCTGTTGAAAGTGTATAGGTGGATCTGACAGGTGTTCGTGTTGTGTGACCTGAGATGTCTCGGGCATTTTTGTAACTCCTTGAGTCGCTTGATACGAGTGGCACGATCAAGATAATTTGTGCAGTGGTAAATAGTGTTCCTCATGGCAGAACCAACATGTTTGCCAGCTTACAGCACATTTTGGAGTCACCACCTTGGGTGACACAGAAACAACAAGATTCAAAGAGACCCACTGCATAAGAGCCCAAACTGCCAGACTTTCACTTAGAAGTGGAAGTGTTTTGTTTGGGCTTATTGTTAGTACCTTTGGGAGCCGGTCGGCCGAGCTGACAGCACACTGGACTTGTGATCCTGTGGTCCCGGGTTCGATCCTGGGCGCCGGCGAGAAACAATTGGCAGAGTTTCTTTCACCCTATGCCCCTGTTACCTAGCAGTAAAATAGGTACCTGGGTGTTAGTCAGCTGTCACGGGCTGCTTCCTGGGGGTGGAGGCCTGATCGAGGACCGGGCCGCGGGGACACTAAAAAGCCTCAAAATCATCTCAAGATAACCTCAAGATCTCCACTGACTTTGTCGTTTTAGACATCAGTTGAAGAACTCTATTCGTCCTCTCTCATGTACTATCATACAATTTACAATCATCCTCAAAGTCTTAAAGATTTTATCCAGGGTGAGGACGTCTGTCTTGTACTGAGAGCAGAGAGATTCCAAAATTTCCTTTGGTAATTATCTCTGACTCTCTCATTTGAACACCCATTCTGCTCGAGGCACATCAGCCTTAGCATCTAGAGCTTTGACTAAAGACTCTACTTGGAGTCTAAAGTCTTGTATAGCCTCAGGTATATTAATGTGCTTAATTGCACTAGTTTATTTATGGATCACGAGGATTCAGGTTCATAGAACCAAATGAATGTGGTTTATGAACCGGTTAATTTATGAGTTGATGGACCAACAGAACGACCGAAGTTTGTAGAATCGTTATGGGATCCATCTAGGATCTCAAGGACTATAAGAATGTGGGAAAATGTACCATTGGTATGTTATTTTAATTATTTATCTATTTGTTATTTATTTAATTATTATATATTTATTATTTATTTAATTATTTATTCAATAACTAATTTTGTGATTTTATAATTAAATTATTTCATTAGCAAGTGGACTGTATCAGATAATTTTATCCCACTAATAAGCTCCTAAAAAGCTTGGGGTTATACTAAAATTCAACAGGACAGGAATTCTTAGTTGCTTCAAATATTTCACAGTTTTTAAATGATTAATTACAATAATTAAATATATACTCCTTAGAGTAAATTTCAATTAAATATTTCTAATAAATTTAATGTCAGCTTAGCGAACAAAAAGTGTAGTTGGCCTGGACGAATATCAATCACATGGGCTCGAAACCTCCTGTGGTGATGGAATCTCACAGGTGTCAGACCACGTATTGACAAAGGTGTCGGACCACGTGTTCACACAGGTGTTTCGACCAGACGTTGACACAGGTGTTGGATCATGCATTGACACAGGTGTTGGACCACTCATTGACACTAGTGCCGGACCACGTGTTGACACAGGTGTCAGACCACGCATTCACACAGGTGTTGGATCACACGTTGCCACAGGTGTTGAACCTTACATAGACATAGGTGTCAGACCACGCATTGACGCTGGTGCCGGACCATGTGTTGACGCAAGTGTCGGACCACGCGTTCACATAGGTGTTGGATCACACATTGCCACAGGTGTTGGACCATACATTGGCACATGTGTCGGACCACGTGTTGACACAGGTGTTGGACCACGCATTGACACAGGTGACAGACTATGCATTGTCACAGGTGTCAGACCACGCATTGATACAGGTGATGGACCACGTGTTGACATGGGTGACGGACCATGCATTGACACAGCTGACGGACTACGCATTGACACAGGTGTCAGACCACACGTTGACACAGGTGTCAGACCACGTGTAGACACAGGTGTCAGACAACGCATTGACACAGGTGTCAGACCACACATTGACACAGGTGTCAGACCACGTGTAGACACAGGTGTCAGACCATGCATTGACACAGGTGTTTGACCACGCATTCATTACTTTCATATCGTAAATAATTTACCTGTCCCCACACAACATTGTGTATTGGACCGAAACAATAGTTAAATTTAAGCTTTAATTGTTATTTTATGATAATTAAGATTAATAACTTAAGGTTATGAGATGCTCACCATTCATTTTGTGTTTTCATGCATCATAACCCATGACAACATAACTATGCTATGAGCTCATAACATATTAAAATTTATATCACGGGAAAGACACATATCCTGGAAGATGGCGTGTAGTAATGTGGCTGTTGAACACTTGCAAACTAACGTAATAATTAAGTGTTTGTGAGCTATCAACCAAACACATCCACCTTGTTCAATTCAAAATGGCCAGCCCTTCCTCCTCGGGACGGAGACTCATACCCAAATTAATTTTATGGATTCCCAGAAAGAGGGGTTTTATTTACTTCATTGAATACTCGTAATTTAGTTTAATTTAATTTATAGTTATGAGATGTTGTGAGATGACTTTAAGTGATGCGGCAAATATTTGCTGTTATAAGTTTTTTTTAGAAAGAACTTGTCACATACAATTGTCACCTTTTTGGGATAACTTATTTAATTTAATTTATAATTTATATAACACAAAGACAGCAGTTATTTCTTACTGCATATTGTTTAAAGATATTATGTGTTGAGGGAAGTCTTCCAACAAGGAGGTGATGGCTAACTGTAAGTGCTGGAGGAGGAGGTGGACAGATGCAAGTGCTGGAGGAGGAGGTGGACAGATGCAAGTGCTGGAGGAGGAGGTGGACAGATGCAAGTGCTGGAGGAGGAGGTGGACAGATGCAAGTGCTGGAGGAGGAGGTGGACAGATGCAAGTGCTGGAGGAGGAGGTGGACAGATGCAAGTGCTGGAGGAGGAGGTGGACAGATGCAAGTGCTGGAGGAGGAGGTGGACAGATGCAAGTGCTGGAGGAGGAGGTGGACAGATGCAAGTGCTGGAGGAGGAGGTGGACAGATGCAAGTGCTGGAGGAGGAGGTGGACAGATGCAAGTGCTGGAGAAGGAGGTGGACAGATGCAAGTGCTGGAGAAGGAGGTGGACAGATGCAAGTGCTGAAGGAGGAGGTGGACAGATGCAAGTGCTGGAGGAGGAGGTGGACAGATGCAAGTGCTGGAGGAGGAGGTGGACAGATGCAAGTGCTGGAGGAGGAGGTGGACAGATGCAAGTGCTGGAGGAGGAGGTGGACAGATGCAAGTGCTGGAGGAGGAGGTGGACAGATGCAAGTGCTGGAGGAGGAGGTGGACAGATGCAAGTGCTGGAGGAGGAGGTGGACAGATGCAAGTGCTGGAGGAGGAGGTGGACAGATGCAAGTGCTGGAGGAGGAGGTGGACAGATGCAAGTGCTGGAGGAGGAGGTGGACAGATGCAAGTGCTGGAGGAGGAGGTGGACAGATGCAAGTGCTGGAGGAGGAGGTGGACAGATGCAAGTGTTGGAGGAGGAGGTGGACAGATGCAAGTGCTGGAGGAGGAGGTGGACAGATGCAAGTGCTGGAGGAGGAGGTGGACAGATGCAAGTGCTGGAGGAGGAGGTGGACAGATGCAAGTGCTGGAGGAGGAGGTGGACAGATGCAAGTGCTGGAGGAGGAGGTGGACAGATGCAAGTGCTGGAGGAGGAGGTGGACAGATGCAAGTGCTGGAGGAGGAGGTGGACAGATGCAAGTGCTGGAGATGGAGGTATCTACCAGCAAGTTCTGGAAGGGGGGGGGAGCTGGCTAGCTGCAAGTGCTGGAGAAAGAGATGGCTGGCTGCAAATGCTAGAGGAGGAGGTGGCTAGCTGCAAGTGCTGGAGGAGGCGGTGGCTAGCTGCAAGTGCTGGAGGAGGCGGTGGCTAGCTGCAAGTGATGGAGGAGGCGGTGGCTAGCAGGAAGTGCTGGAGGAGGCGGTGGCTAGCAGCAAGTGCTGGAGGAGGTGGTGGCTAGCAGCAAGTGCTGGAGGAGGCGGTGGCTAGCAGCAAGTGCTGGAGAAGGCGGTGGCTAGCTGCAAGTGCTGGAGGAGGTGGTGGCTAGCAGCAAGTGCTGGAGGAGGCGGTGGCTAGCTGCAAGTGCTGGAGGAGGTGGTGGCTAGCAGCAAGTGCTGGAGGAGGCGGTGGCTAGCTGCAAGTGCTGGAGGAGGTGGTGGCTAGCAGCAAGTGCTGGAGGAGGCGGTGGCTAGCAGCAAGTGCTGGAGGAGGCGGTGGCTAGCAGCAAGTGCTGGAGGAGGTGGTGGCTAGCAGCAAGTGCTGGAGGAGGCGGTGGCTAGCAGCAAGTGCTGGAGGAGGCGGTGGCTAGCAGCAAGTGCTGGAGGAGGCGGTGGCTAGCAGCAAGTGCTGGAGGAGGCGGTGGCTAGCAGCAAGTGCTGGAGGAGGCGGTGGCTAGCTGCAAGTGCTGGAGGAGGCGGTGGCTAGCAGCAAGTGCTGAAGCACGAGGTGGCTTGCTGAAAGTGCTGGAGGAGGAGGAGGTGTAGACTGCCTTTTGTTGAAGGAGGAGGTGGCTTGCTGACCTGAAATCGTCGATGCCTTCAAAGCGGTTCCTGTGACCGTCGTCGACCAGGAGGAAGTGAGTGTGGTCTCTGTTGAGGGAGAGAGGAGCCTCAAGGACCACCTTCTCCTTCACCCTGTACCTGAGGGAGAGTGGAGGACCAAGGTAACGCTTGGAGAGGTAATAGTATAAACACAGAGAAAATTTATTATGTCATCAGTAAAGGTTCAATAAATTATGGAACTATCTTGTGGGTATGGTTACTAGGCTAATCCTGAGGGTATGCTCTCTAAGTCCATCCTGTGGGTATAGTTAATAAGACCATCCTGAGGGTATGGTTACCATGACCATCCTGCAAGTAATATTACCATGACTATTCTGAGGGTGCGGCCACTAGGACCATCCTGAATGTATTGTTACTACAACCATCTTGAGCGTGTGGTTACAAGGACCATTCTGAAAATATGGTTACCAGGACTATTCTGAGGATATGGTTACTATGACTATCCAGAGGGTATATAGTCACTAGGTCTATCCTGAGGGTATATAGTCACTAGGTCTATCCTGAGGGTATATAGTCACTAGGTCTATCCTGAGGGTATATAGTCACTAGGTCTATCCTGAGGGTATATAGTCACTAGGTCTATCCTGAGGGTATATAGTCACTAGGTCTATCCTGAGGGTATATAGTCACTAGGTCTATCCTGAGGGTATGGCTACTAAGACTATTATGTGTGTGTATGGTTACTAGAGAATATCCTAAAAATAGGGTTATTAGGACTATGGAAGTCGACGAATTTATCATTTATCACCATTAATTGTTATTTCATGTTTGCGATGAAATGCTTAACTGCACTCTCTAAATTTCATAAATACCACCTAATAATACTCACTATATATCTTTCTTACTATTCATTACTAACCTAAGTCTAATACTCAAGCTCTCTCTATTTACTATTTATTTTGTTATTCCTCTTATCATTACTCTATACGATATATAGTGAAACCTACCTGACAGGAACATCCTACCTGAAAAGAAAACTCTTACCCGAAATGAACCTTCTACCCGAAAAGGAAACCCCTACCCGAAATGAACCTTCTACTCGAAAAGGAAACCTCTACCCGAAATGAACCTTCTACCCGAAAAGGAAACTCCTACCCGAAAGGAACATCATACCTGCTATAAAATGTACAGATGAAAAAATTCTTTTAGAACATAGATTCAAAATAAGATACTTTTTTTTAACATTTCTCTATACGAATTTTTTTGTCTTGTGCCCAAAACCTTACAATTTTCCTGTTTAATTTCATTCACTTTAATACTGCAATATTTAATTTTCAATACTATGTAATGATGCAGTTGCATTGCAATTACATCATTACACCAGATCCCCGTGCACGATCATGAATGCAATTGTTCTGCATCATTATAAACCAAAACACTGCACACGGTTGTTGTCCTCAATTACACTACTTTCTTACTAGATCATCCTGATGGTATAGTTACTATACCCATCTTAAGGGTATGGTTATTAGACCATCCTGAGGACAAGGCTACAAGAACCATCCTGAGGGTATGGCTACTAGGACTATCCTAAGGGTATGGCGACTAGACCATCCTGAGGGTATGGCTACTAGGACTATCCTAAGGGTATGGCGACTAGACCATCCTGAGGGTATGGCTACTAGGACTATCCTAAGGGTATAGCGACTAGACCATCCTGAGGGTATGGCTACTAGGACTATCCTAAGGGTATGGCGACTAGACCATCCTGAGGGTATGGCTACTAGGACTATCCTAAGGGTATGGCTACTAGACCATCCTGAGGATATTGCTACTAGACCATCCTGAGGGTATAGCTATTAACCATCCTGAGGGTAAGGCTACTAGACTATGCTGAGGGTATGGCTACTAGACCATGCTGAGGGTATGGCTACCTGAACCAATGTAATTGTATTGCTACCAGAACCAATGTGATTACATTGTTACCTAAGCCAATGTGATTATACTGCTACCTGAACCAATGTGATTGTATTGCTTTCTGAACCAATGTGATTGTATTGCTATCAGAACCAATGAAATTGCATTGCTTCCAGAACCAATTTGACTGTATTGCTACCTGAACCAATTTGATTGTATTGCTACCTGAACCAATGTAAATGTATTGGTACCAGAACCAATGTGATTGTATTGCTACCTGAACCAATGCAATTGCATTGCTTCCAGAACCAATATGATTGTATTGCTACCAGAACCAATGTGATTATATTGCTACCTGAACCAATGTGATTGTATTGCTACCCGAACCGATGTGATTGAATTGCTTCCAGAACCAATGTGATTGTATTGCTACCAGAACCAATGTGATTGTATTGCTACCAGAACCAATGTGATTGTATTGCTACCAGAACCAATGTGATTATATTGCTTCCAGAACCAAAGTGATTGTATTGCTACCTGAACCGATGTGATTGTATTGCTTCCAGAACCAAAGTGATTGTATTGCTACCAGAACCAATGTGATTTTATTTCTTCCAGAACCAATGTGATTGTATTGCTACCTGAACCAATGTGATTGGGTTGCTACCTGAACCAATGTGATTGTATTGCTACCAGAATCAATGTGATTTTATTACTACAAGAACCAATGTGATGTATTGCTACTAGAAACATTGTGAGGGTATTTCTACTAGATCGATTGTGAGTGTATTGCTATCAAAACCATTGTGAGGGTATGGCTACCAGAACCATTATGAGAGTATGACTACTGTCTCGAATTGGGGGGGGATAATAACTTTTAAATCTTGTCAAGGGAAATAGAGGCTTTTACTTGAACCAAGGGGTTATCAGGGAGTAGGTAAACAGATAAGTACAAAAGACACTTATTTATATGTATAAAGTGCACTCTAACATATGGCCATAATTGTACGCCTTACAACTCAAGGTCAATCTGAAGGTAACAACTTGATGAATAAAACTAGCAAACGGGTTCTGGATACCCTATTGCGCTCAGTCCCAAACCTGGAACTGTGCACAAACCCACCACACCTGTCAACCGGTGACACACACACACACACACATTCATATATATATATATATATATATATATATATATATATATATATATATATATATATATATATATATATATATATATATATATATTGTGACGATAATCTCCTTCAAGAGAGATTGAGCCTGCTCTTCCCTCCTAAGTACGTCCCTATTCAACTAATATGGAAGAAATATCCAACAAATACAACACCAAGGTTTGCCCAGAGAGCAAACGTATTTAGCACCGGGAACACCTGCTCCACCTCCACCACTCCAACCACCAAACTACCTGTCCATCGCCTGCTCATCGCTGATTGGCTGGTGCCGTCGCACCTGCTTCCTCCACCCGCCACACTACCTGATGTCTGAGGCCACCACGACCTACAGCCCTCAGAATATCCCGTGCTTTCCACAAGTTAACACGTCTCATTTGTAGACTAAGCCCTGGCTTACGTGTACTAAGAGAGGTGGCAGCTTAAAGCCAATATTCCTGCAACCATATATCTCCTTGTATATTACTCACCTGTCTTAACGTAACTTTTTATTTTGCCAGTGATTATTCTTATTATTTTGTTTGATTGACTTATGTTACACTTATGTCCATTTTTATTCATGTTTTGCTTTTCTAACGTAATTAAAATTTCATTGTTAAATTTACTTGTGTTTTGTGTGTCTTCCCATTACCTTACCACAGATGAAAGTTCCATATTTTTCTCTTTTTGTTTCTTTATGTGACGAGGCCATACCCCTAGCTTTTGAAACAGCTGAACACCAAAGCGTTACCGTCACAATATATATATATATATATATATATATATATATATATATATATATATATATATATATATATATATATATATATATATATATATATATATATATATATATATTGGTAGCAGTCTTTCCTGTAGACATATATTATTAAATATGACCGAAAAAGTAAGATTAATAATTCTAACACGAATTTTCTCGATCTTTCTTATGTTTCTTTTCACTGTTGATGGTAATTGAAAAATCAATTCTCCAAAATTCATTTTTATTTCTAGTCTGACGCGACACTTGAACGCGTTTCGTAATAACTTATTACATTTTCAAAGACTTTTAGTTTACACACACACAACTATTACCTGCAAACACTAAACAGAGTTCTTACTTATGCTATGATTTAAACAGCTTACATTTTTCATTTTATACCCGCATTTTGGGTGAGGTGATATGTTACGACAGTTTTGGATGAGGTGAACAAAACTTTCAACACAGGATAGAACACGAAACAATGGGTATTGAAGGTATGAATGGAAGTAATTGCAGAGGGCCTATTGGCCCATATTTCTTGATGTTTCTATATTGGAGCAGAGTCTTGAAGTGGGTAGAATATAGTTGTGCATTAATTGGCTGTCAATTAATGCACAACTTCTGGGGTGTGCATTAATTTTCACTTCTGGGGTGCGAGTTTTCAGTTGCATATAATCTTGGGGATCATTCAGGCTTGTTCGCATTTGTATTCCTCACGCGTGCTCAAAAGAATGAGGTGATTTGATAAAATGCTATGCACAAGATTACTATCCGAGTGCCGGCGGGGAAGTGGTTCAAATAGCTTCGGCTATCACTTCCTTTTGTCCGATCGCGATAGTCAAGCGGATTAAGGCGTCCTGTACATACCAGTTGTGTTGCTCCTGGCAGTATGGGTTCGAGTCACTTCTGGGGTGTGATATATATATATATATATATATATATATATATATATATATATATATATATATATATATATATATATATATATATATATATATATATATATTTACCATGGGGAATATGGTAAATGAAGTCAATAAAAGGTTCGATTGGAAATGCAATGAATAAAGTATTAATTAAGGGGCGATGACGCTAGAGTGGCGGACGCCATCTTTGAATTGAGGGGAGGTGGAATGTTGCCGACCAGAACTTGTTTACTGAGGGTTTTTCTCCGACTGAACAGTCAGATTAGCCATTATATATATATATATATATATATATATATATATATATATATATATATATATATATATATATATATATATTTTACCATGGGGAATATATATATATATATATATATATATATATATATATATATATATATATATATATATATATATATATTTACCATGGGGAATATATATATATATATATATATATATATATATATATATATATATATATATATATATATATATATATATATATATATATATAATGGCTAATCTGACTGTTCAGTCGGAGAAAAACCCTCAGTAAACAAGTTCTGGTCGGCAACATTCCACCTCCCCTCAATTCAAAGATGGCGTCCGCCACTCTAGCGTCATCGCCCCTTAATTAATACTTTATTCATTGCATTTCCAATCGAACCTTTTATTGACTTCATTTACCATATTCCCCATGCATGCTTTTTGATTGAGTTCATTTTTCCTTCACATAGTGTGGCTTTTCCGGTACACATCGTCCGGTACCTAAACAATCTCTAGCTGAGAAGGTACTACTTTGCTTGGCGGAGTATTACAGGTGACTTGTGGCCTCCCAGGTATCAGCTGCAGATTTATTTCAAGAAAACATTCTCTAATGTGTCCACCAACAGTTTATAATAAGAACTAACCTTCACTGAAAGTAAGGTTAGTAACAGCTACCAGAACCATTGTGAGAGCATTGCTACCAGAACCATTGTGAGAGCATTGCCACCAGAACCATTGTGAGAGCATTGCCACCAGAACCATTGTGCGAGCATTGCCACCAGAACCATTGTGAGAGTATTGCCACCAGAACCATTGTGCGAGCATTGCCACCAGAACCATTGTGCGAGCATTGCCACCAGAACCATTGTGAGAGCATTGCCACCAGAACCATTGTGAGAGCATTGCCACCAGAACCATTGTGCGAGCATTGCCACCAGAACCATTGTGAGAGCATTGCCACCAGAACCATTGTGCGAGCATTGCCACCAGAACCATTGTGAGAGCATTGCCACCAGAACCATTGTGAGAGCATTGCCACCAGAACCATTGTGAGAGCATTGCTACCAGAACCATTGTGCGAGCATTGCCACCAGAACCATTGTGAGAGCATTGCCACCAGAACCATTGTGAGAGCATTGCCACCAGAACCATTGTGAGAGCATTGCTACCAGAACCATTGTGAGAGCATTGCCACCAGAACCATTGTGAGGTTATGTCTACGAGATTACTATGGTCATATGGTTACTATGACCATCCCGAGGGTATATAGTCACGGCTACGGCTAGATAGTATTATATAGGTATATTAAATACCTATACAATACTGTATAGGTATGTTATATTATTTTGGTATATAATTGTGATGGTATGGCTACGAAAACCATTGTGAGGGTATGACTACGAGAAGCCTTGTGAGGGTATGGCTACGAGAAGCCTTGTGAGGGTATGACTACGAGAACCATTGTGAGGGGACGCCTACGAGAACCTGTATGAGGCTACTAACACCATAAAACTAGTATATCAAGTAATACTAAAGTTACCCCTGACAGTAAACTTTATCTATGAATCAAATTCTTATCGCTGTGTTGAATGATAATGAATGTTGAATGTTGTTGGGACTTTTGTAACTGAACTGATAACTATATAAGAAACGTTAATTACCTGACACAGGCCGGGGTGTTGATGTCCTTGTTGATGAGACTGTGTGTCTGGTCGGTGTGGCCCCAGGCGGCCACCCCCAGGCACCTGGCCCCCTGCCTCTCACCCTCTTCTCTCTGTAATACAACCATCGAAAAAGCATATATTTTTGGAGCACAAAAGATGGACTGGGCGGGTCCCATTTACATCCACCCTATCTGTTGGCCTTTAGTGGCCACGTCCCGTTTATACTCACCCTCTCTGTTGGCCGTTACTGGGCGGGTTCCGTTTATACCCACTCTCTCTGTTGGTTCTTAATGGGTGGGCCCCGTACATACCCACCCTTTCTGTTGGCCGTTAATGAGAGGGGTCCCGATTATATCCCACACTCTCTGTTGGTCGTTACTGAGCGGGTCTTGTTTATACCCACTCTCTCAGTTGGCCGTTACTGGGCGGGTTCCGTTTACGCTCATTATAACATTCACATAACCAGATAAAACTCTCCAAGGATGGTTATACACCTGCAACAGATTTACAAACACCAACTGAATTTAATAGCTTTTGAATTTAATTCTTTTCATCGGTTGGTGCTAACCTTGCCAGGAAAACCTCACAGACTCTGACACATGTTGTCACATATCTTTCAGGCAACTACCCAAACTCTCTTCTACTTTCACCAGGCAGCCCGACAGATGTTGTGTCCATCATTCACTCACTAAAAATCAAAGCTGGGAACATTAGTGAAATACCATCCATGGTATACAAGAGTGCCTCCCATAGCTCTACTATTCAATAAATCTCTAGAGTATCATACCTTCCCTGATATTCTTAAAAAGGCGTGAGTAACGCTAGTTCATGAAGGAGGCATTCCGGCAGACATAAACAATTACAGACCAATATGAAATCTACCAATATTATCAAAAAAATTTGAAATTTTTTTATACAAACAGCTCTACTCCTACCTGGTAAAATTCAACATACTAAGTTCCTGTCAGTTTGGCTTCCACTCCCAAAAGAGTACCAACGATGAAATTATTATTCTGCTTGATATAATCTACTCAGCTCTTGACAAAAATGAGTTTCCATTTGGACTTTTCATTGACCTGGAAAAAAAACCTTCGATACTGTTAACCATAACTATCTTTTACTTAAACTCCACCATCATGGAATACGGGGCCTTGCCCTGAAATATATCCGATCCTATTTTAGTGACAGACACTAATATGTAGCCATCAATGATATAACTTTTCCCACTCTACAATTAATCATTGTTGTGCCACAGGGCCGCTTTCTAGGACCTCTGCTATTTCTTATATACATCAATGATCTGCCTAATATCTTTGACATTCCTAAACTATATTGTTTGCTGATGGCAGTACCCTCATCTACTCAGACCCCAACCCACACACTTGAAATAATGTTATAAATAATGAATTAATAAAAAGTCCACTTATGGATCTCAATCAACAAACTAACACTAAATATAAAAAAGATCTACTACATCTTACTTGGAAGCAAATTAACAAATACAATTCAACTTCTGATAAACAATGTTAACATCAACAATAAAAATGATGGAGAGTTCCTTGGCCTATACATAGACAAGACACTCAAATTTAGCACTCACATACAACACATAACCAATGTTCTCAAAAGCGGTTGCTATACTCTCTACAATCATATATTATGTTCCAAACTCTGATCTTCTCTCACTATACAACGCACTAATCACCATGCACGTATATCTGTGCATGGTGTTCAACCACTGCAAACTACCTCAAGCCCATTATCACCCACCAAAAATCAGAACAATAACAAACTCTGCTTTTAGACAACACTCAGCCTCGGTTTAAATCCCTAAACATGCTAAACGTAAACTCACTCAGCCCATTCTGTTGTGAAATTTACATTCACAAAACCCTGTTCTTAAATGCAAACCCTGTTCTGAAACTCTTCCTGGACAGATGTAATAGAACCCATAATCATCACACCAGAAATAAATATATCTTTGATATCCCCAGAGTTAAACTTAATCTGTGTAAACCCTCTATGCAAATAAAAGGACGTAGTCTATGGAACTCACCCCCTAACGATTTGAAAAGCTGTTCAACGTTTGTCGTATTCAAAAATAAAACCAAAGAGTACCTAATTTCATCTTCATAGTTCCTATCTAGTGTTTTAAACTCGCACTGTATCTAATGCTATCCAATCCCCCAATATTTGTACCTAAGTCATACAATTTTACCATTCTAATCATTGATATCACCTTATATCATGGTTGTTATATTGAACGCATATTTTACTGCACTACACTTTTAAATAATCCTCAAATTATGCTGCAATTTACCAATTGATAACTCTCAAATTTGACTTTAATGTACCTACTAATCTTTGTAAAAAAAAATTACATTGTACCTGTAAACATTAGTTTAAATTTTGCTACCAATTATCTACTTAAAACTATCTGTTGTATTAAGGACCTGCCCAAAATGCTATGAGTGCTAGTGGCTTTACAGGCATGTAAAAACATTAATGCTATATACTCTCATAAACCCAAAGTATCTTCTTGTATATAAATAAATGAATATGAGTTACTTACTGAGGTGCGATTCAAAGCACATTCTAATAATTATAACACTAAGAGTATAATATGCTCATAAACCTCGTGTTTTCCAGACGAAACCCGTTGCACCGGTTACTCACATATTTTTCTTCTCCTGTAAAACCCAAGTTTGAGAAACCTCAGATGAGGTTGCAACACCCAAGTAATGTAGTTCCTAAACCTGCAGTTTGCTCGACAGTTTCGACCACTAGCAGATATTGCATGCATTGCAAGAGAAAAGGTCTTGTAGTTAATTCCTGTTTACTGTGCACCCTGAGTTGAGACCTACCGGTCTGATTATGAGAAAGGGGATGCAAGTAACTGATTCTAATTGTGTCCCAGTGACTGACTTTAAACCGTACATGTTTACAGGTGAACTTCTATGTACCAGTGGGAGCTGGAAGCCAGTACAGTTACTGAGGAATACTGGTGCTTCCCATCTCTAATTTCTCAACATGTTCTTGCTGATGTTAGAACAAAGGACACTGATGAGGAGGTGTTACTGAAAGGTATTGGGAGAAATGTCCAGCAAGTGCCATTAATTAAAGTTAACCTGAAGTCAACCTTTACACCAGATTGGTGCACTGTAGGAGTAAGCAGTTGCCCATCCCTGGGGTTGACATTACTGTCGGTAACGATTTTGACAAGTGTCAAGTTATTGATACAGAGTGTCTTATCATGTTTACCAACCCTAGTTGTGTTCGGCCTCAACTGGATGCAGAGGATGGTGTCACTTATCCAACATGTGTTGTGACCAGATCAATGGGTAAGAAGGGTGAGGTTAATCGTGATACTACCAAGGTGGATGTTCCCAAGGCCAGGACCCCATCAGACAGGAAGTTGGAGGTGGACCTTGAGGATACATTCCTTACTGAGTCGGATGTCGAGAGTGAGGCTGGTGCCATGGCCCTGATTTATTCCGAACAAGTGGAAGGTCTGGAAGAGGAGACCCATGTTCCAGTTACATGCCCGCTCGCTCCAGCTGTTGAGTCCCAGACCTTCAGTGAGTTGCTGGGTACTGATCCAAGTTTAGCTGAGTGTTATGCAGAAGCAACTTCTGCATAACAAACCCGTACTCTCATCCAAGGTGGCAACTTCTATTGCTACCTTGGATGAAAGTACAGGTTTCTACCTCGACGATCGACGTCTGATGAGATGATGGAGACCTGCAGGAACTTCCTTATCAGATGATTGTGAGACTAGGACCCAGTTCGTTGTACCCAGTGAGTATCGATAGCAGGTATTACAAGTTGCCCATGATGACCTGATGGGAGGTCATAAAGGTTTTTACAATATGTATTATGAAATTTGTACTTTTTTCTACAGGCCCCAATTCAAAAAGGATGTGGTCAGATAGCAGTAAAGGTTCTCTGCAAGCTCTTCAGGTAAGCAGTTTTGAAAAGTACCATCATCCGTATAGTATCTCTGGTTTAAATGGTTCTTGATATCCAACCTGTCATTTTCCGTGCATATATGACAGCTACTTTATTGTGTTCTTTTAATAAGGTAAAGTCTTCTGACATGAGTACACCCAAATCCTTAACATTGCCTTTCCATTGTATGTTATGATTTGACTGCGTTTTGTACATGGTTTCAGTTTTTATATTTTCATTATTTTCCATAGCACAGGAGCTGGAACTTATCTTCGATAAACACAATACTATTTTCTGAAGCCCATAGAAAGACCTAATTTACATCTGACTGGAGGTTTGCCATGTCCTCTATGTTGTCTTCTCTCGTAAAGTTCCTAGTGTCATCTGCAAAGGATGATACAGAACTATAGATTGAGTCCTTTTCTATGTCCGATAAGAGGATGAGAAAAAGTACTGGAGGAAGGACAGTTCCCTGAGGGAAAGAGGTACTCATGGTTTATGGACCAGATTTTATTTCGTTGACTATTACACATTGGGTTCTGTTAGTCAGGAAATTCTAGATCCATCTGCCTATTTTGCCGGTAGTTCCTTTTCAACGCATTTTGGTGTACAATTACACTATGGTCACATTTGTCGAAAACTTTTGCAAAATCTGTGTAAATTACATCAGTGTTTTGTTTGTCTTCCATGGCATCTAATGCCATATTATAGTGGTCCAGAAACTGTGATAGACAAGAGCGCCCTTTTCTGAAACATGTTGTTCAGGGTTATGGAGATGCTGTGATTCCATGTATTTTGTGATCTTACTTCTTAGGACTCATTCAAAGTTTTTTATGATATGTGATGTTAGTGCTATCGGTCTGTAATTTTTTGCCTCTTCCTTATTTCCTCCTTTTTGTATTGGTGCTATCTCTGCTGTTTTTGGTATGTCAGGGATAACGCCAGTATTTAGGCTCTGTCTCCAAAGAATGTGAAGGGCTTGCGATAGCGTTTTTTTACAGTTCTTGATGAATATAGAGTTCCAAGAGTCAGGGCCTGATGCAGAGTGCATAGACCTACTGTCTATGGCTTCTTTAAAATCCAGTGGGAAATAGGGCGACATCTGATTTATGATTTGATGTTGGCATCACATCCATGAAAAATTCATTTGGATTGTCAATCT